TAAAGGATTTTGTAAAGTCATAGAGAAAATGTTTTTTTTTTTTTTTTTTTTAACAACTTCATCATTTGGCATTGTTTTCCATACATTCGAGCTAATAAATTATACAAATAAAAAAGATTCGTAAAACATATATAAAATCAAAAGAAAAACTTGGCACAGTTGTGTTCAATTTTTAATTGACTTTGTGCGGTTTAATTTGGTTTGATTTCAATTTACTCCTTACGGAGTAATTCGTGTTTCCAGGTAAAGGCTTACTCTTCATGGAAACCCTTAAAAGAGTTAGTTTCCTAGGTAGCTAAATAGACTTACGTAGTCCAAATTTGCTGCATTTATGCCAAATTACTATTACGAATCGATCGATTCGCATGAAATACTAGAGAGTTGACCTTGCTGGTTTACTGGAAAGCTTGTTTCTTATAGGAGAGGAGGAGAGAGGCATCCTATTGACCCTATCTCATCACATTCACTTAATATGCCAGAATATTACTTTTAATCGATTTTATTTCGAAAACCGCGATCTCTCGATTGAATACAGATATAAATGGAAAAACATCAGAGGAACCAGCATGTTTAAGTCGACTGTCCATTCATATGATTCATGAATAGATCGGTATAATTGTGGAACGATTGGAACCGTTTTTGTATGGAACATGCAAGGGATTCTAGCGAACTTTTGGATATCATTTTGTCAAGGAATCGAATCTTATTGACGAAGATTTGAAATAATTCTATTGGTTGTTCTTCGAAATTGTGTTAATTTTTTCTGCATTATGCATGTGAGCAGATCGCTCCTATTTATTTTTTTTACTCAGATATTATCAATCGATCAAGGAATGTTTTTTTTTATATTAGTTTACTCATAGCGTCAGATTCTTTAAATCGCAAAGTTATAAAGAGAATTGATCTAAGCAATTGAAACCAGTTCTCATCTTCGAGTTTTTTTGTTTCATTTTAATTGTATGTATATACAAAAGCAAAGTAAGCTTTTCGGAAAAATATATATAGAGAAGATATTAGAAGAAATAACAAATGAAAAACATTCAAACGAACAAGGAATTATTTATTTCTATTATAAAATGTATATAGAAATGAGAGCCTAATAAAATAATTCATACCAGACCAGACGAGATGCAAACTTACTAACATTGAACAATAGAAACGAACCAATCAAGTTGTTTATAAACTTTAGAAAATGCAAGCAGCAACAATATAACAGCAATGCAAGGCAGAAACAAAGAAAGTATTTATATATGCCTTAGATTGAATCGTTTAATTTGTAATATTTGTTTTTCTAAATCATACGCACAACGAGACTAAAAAAAAAACTAACTGTACTACCAAATATATATAAAACTATTTTACATGAAAGATATTATGCAAGCGCAGACATCCTATGGCGGCATGACTGTAGTCGTCCTACTGATTTTTACCATAAATTTTTCTCATATACTAACGTATATGCAATTATAATTTAACATATGTACTCGGATAAGATTGTCGAAGAATAATTCTCAATAAATTAGTAAAACATTCGTACAAAGGGCGTTTGATGCATAATCATCTCTCGATTGACTTACGCCAATGGATAGGTCAAAAAGTAATTTTTCTAATTGTGAGCATAAGCAAAGACGCATATAGTTTTTGCAGAGAAAGCAAAAAAAAAAAAATTAAAACATTTTATCTGCTTTTGGCGATAGGCTGGGGTGGCTTTCTTTGTTCATACTGATCAAATTAATAAAATTAATTACATTTTGTTTTTTACGACAGTTTTATGCAACAGAGAAAAAATGTTGTCAAAATTTTTGTATGTTTCGCATGACAGATATCTTAACAGCTCGATGATCTATCTGGAAATAATGGAATTTCATATAAAGCTGCTGCTGCAGCTTGCTCGCATCTTCTGAACTGAATGAAAGTTGAAAAGGTTAGGTGTTTGATTTTTTCATTTTATGGACCTTGAAATAACTTTGACTAATTTGATTCGCAACAATTTTTGTCGGAAATATGTTAAAGTACGTTAATTAAATGAAACGAATTCAATTGAAACCGCTTAATATATTAAATTTTCAGAGAATTTTCAAACTTATCTGGTACAGAAATTAAGCATATATGTATATGTATATATATATATGTACATGTATATGCAAAACAGTGATCGTAATTAATAAATTTCTGGAAAAAATTAATTCGTTCGTCTGTCTGCTCATATCAATTTACGTCACTTTCTATTGAAAATGAAACGAAGACGAGCCCTTTGCATCAGATTCAATACTTTTTGAATCGAGATCGACTGACAGACCCATTAGATCTTACCGAAGATATCATTGTCGCATGGTAAGTCGCAGTGATCATTTACATTGCGTATTGCACGTTGTACATGGAAAACGTTTAAACCTGTTTATACCCTACACTACTTGTGGTACAGGGCATATTAAGTTTGTGCGAACGTATGTAGCACACGTTTTATTATATTGATCGGATCGGATCGTTATCCCAATCGATCTGAGCCTGTCTGGCCGTTCGTCCGTCTGTCCGATGTCTGCCCGTGTTCGATCTGCAGATCAAAATATTTGAGATGTTTTGATGAAATTTGATACACTGACCTGCTTCGACCCAAGGACAAACGTTATAGAAAACGGTTCGGATCGGGCCGTTTTTTCAACTATTCCTTCCTTTCGAAACGTCGTCGTATATTTTCACGAAAAAGAAACTCTTATATGAGAAAGCGGTCCAATTTTTCATATTTTATGACGAAACCTCGACCACAATAGAGAATTTCGCATAACAATTTAGATCACTTACGTCACTTTTTTAGACGCCATTCTCTCTTATGAAAAGTATGCCTTCACATGAAAACAAATTATAATTTTTCACATATTATCAGGAAAATGAATGGGTATTTATATTAGATGAAGTCGTATAGCGTATTTGAAAGGCTGCGTTGCCTGAACATAATGTTGGCACTCGTTTTAGAACGATGTATGCACAAAAAAGACGTAACTTAACTATGTACTAACCGAAATGGTAAACTTACTCATGTATTTTAAACTTTTTTACCCGTTACTTGTCGGCTGCTCTTAATTCATGTCTTTTTTCGCAACAACAGAAGCGAAGGAAAACAGTCCTGCCGTCAGTTAATAGCCCAATGGCTTTTGCAGCCAAACTTGTCAGATCTTAGCAGAAAATCAGCATATTTTCACGATCCCTCCGTTCGTAGTCCGTCGTCCGCCTTTAACGTTCATCAGGACAAAGGATATGTTACCTCATAATGACGGACAATTGCGATTCACAATAATGACTTCATTGATATCATAACCAGATATATTTTCTCTTATTATATATATCTATCGTTTGTATTTTGTGACAAGTGTATAACTTATAATTTATTTCTTTAATTTTTAACATATTTAAACGACTTTTCCTCGTAAAGATAGATCACGAAAATGATGTGTCAGCGTCTATTACTATCAAGCGCGATTGTTCTTTCAATTCTCTTTCGTTAATACTTGCACGTTGCCAGATATATAATAACAGAGTGTGGCATATTTATCTAATTATATACATTCATGTTTATGTATATGTATATATATACGCAAAGGTTTCCTATGACCCTTCTTCCAAATTTTATTCTCTCTATGATGAATTGATTTTTCTAATAAAGTAAGTAAGTAAAGTTTTCGCTTTAGCCAAGGCTGTGCGCTTGTATATGGACATTTCTAATATGCTACGAAAATGAAAGCCCTCCCTAATATTTGTTACAAAAGCATACAAAAAAAAAAAAAAAAAAATTACACTAGTGCTGATCCCTTCACTTATGCATTTAATGATACTGCTGTTATAATGACGTGTCTGCTCACGAACACTTTGTACAAGCAAAAGGACAAAGACGGACCGCGAAACCAATCCATTGGAACGAATTTTGTATAGCCACTAACTTAAGTAGTTTTTTCGCAAACCTATTCTAACCCTAAAACTTTGTCTTACGTGGATGATTTTTTTCTCTTCTTTTTGTCGACATTGTTTTAGATGTCAGCTTTTGAGAGTGTGTGTTTTAAATGCATCATTTTAAATGCATTAAATAGGACCAGTTCGAGCAGTCTTGGTTTTTTTAGGTGCAAGAAATGCAGGGTTGGAAAAATCGACGGTAAGCAGACATTATTAAAGCGATTTACGAGATTCAAGAATGTATTTGCCCAAGGTTATATCTGAAGCGGGATAATATGATATGATATGATGAAATTAGTATAACTACGTCGGTCCGTAATGGATAGAATGGATAGATACATAAAATGGTAGAATGCATATAAAATATTGAAACTAAGTTAAAATGAAATGAAAAATATCTGAGTATTGCATTTTTAATAATTTTCATTTTAAATTTGCGAAAAATAAAAAAAAAAAAAAATGAATAAAGCTTTACATATATGTACGCACAATTAACCCGAATTCCGAGAGTTTATCGTTCAATTCGTTCAGTTCACATTTGATAAAATCAATTTCTATTTAAACTACTCATGCAAAAATCATTTAAAAATTACACATACGCATATATATGCACACACACACACACAAACACACAAAAACACACAAACACACACATACGCAAATGAAGATAGAGAGAGAGAGAGAGAGAGAGGGAGAGAGAAATAAATATGTATCTGTTTATAGTTATATACGTTGATGTGCTAGCATGTCTTGCTGCACTTAGTCATATGTGTCTGCTTCTGGACTCTTGAAATATGATATTTTTTATATATAATCAAAAAGGAAAGAAAAAAAAAAAAACCAAAGAATCAATTAGTTTTTTACACACAATTTAATTAACAAAATGATCAATTTTCCCCTTTTAAGCTAATTCATTAACTAGCCAAGCGACACAAGCGAAAAATGAAAATAAAGAAATAAATAAATGTATGTATATAACTACAATGAAATTCTAATACTACAACTTGCAAAGTACAAGACTGGTATGCTCTGATTTCTTTGATTCTTTTTTTTTCGCTTTTCATTTACAATTGACCTTCACAAGCGCCTAGGAACTACTTATGCTATTTTAAGTTCTACTTTAATTGTTTTTTTTTTTACACTAGTAGGGCATCAGCTCGCGGTTCGTATATTAAGTTTGTGCGAATGTATGCGATGCCCAGAAGAATTTATGGGGATAAATTCATTTTTCCTTTTACCGATCATTCAGAATCATTTTCTGAATCGTCATTTTAAGTCCGTCCCTATAATGCCTGTCCACGCATACATGCGTTCACTTTACTTTAGTTTACAAGATATTGCAATGAAATGTGTTTGGCCCCAAAATTAAATTCTCGTCAAAATGAGTTAGATCGGACTACGACCTTTATGTATATATGACGCGCCACAATGATAAAAATGGAATTTTCCCAAACTAAGTAGATGAACAACATACGAAGACGATGAGACAATTCGTTAAAATCCATTTTTTATAAGCTTTCTTACGAAAATTGATCATTTAATAGGCAACAAGACGAAAATGGCATAAAAGTTATGATTTGACGCACAAGTTGACTCTAGTAAGGTTAGAGTATATGCGGAACCTTCTCCATAGAAGAAATTTTCATGAAAAGTAAGTCTCTTATACGACAGCAAATTATAGTTTTTGGTATTTCATGATGAAAAAGTTACAATGAAATAAGCCTGTTGCGCACAGAATCTATCCACGTGTTCGCATATCTTATAAGGGAGGTACGATCAGAATGCCTACGCAATTTGTGCGTTATTTTTTTTTTTTTTTTTTTTTTTTTTTTTTAGATTTAAGCCTAAGGCCAAGATATTATTGAAATACATAAGATCCGTAACGCACCTTATTAAACTTCAAGCTGTTGAGACTCGCTATCTTAAAAATGGTAGAGGTTGAAATTTTTGTACCCATAGATGAAATGTGAAAATTGCCCTTAAAAAATTGAAAAAAAAAAAAAACGAAAATTTTATATAAAAATGTGTCTATGAATAAAATTCTTAATAAGCAAGTCGTGTATATTTGCAATTTATTATAAATCTTGGAATAAATTCATTAGTGGCGTCAAATATGAGGAAAAGGGGGACACGCGAGATGTATATCCTAAACACATTCCAAGAATTATGTATACAAAATGTGTTAGTTCTTAAATGTTTATTTCTTTCGCTCTCCCTCTTTCTCTCTCTCTCTTTCTCTCTCTCTCTCTCTCTCTGTCACTCTTTTTCCCGCAGTTATTCTCAGTCCCTCTTTCCCTATCTCTTTTACACACATCGATGTTACAATTCAATTAATATGATGGGCTTTGCAAAAAAATTGAAAGGCCACCAAATTATAAACAATAACAACCGATTAAGATGAGAATGAATGTAACGAAACAAAAAGTATGCTTGCGAACGAAGAAGCATTAGTGTGAATATGTGAGTGTACGAGCACTTAATTAATTCAAGTACTATTTAATTAAATTACTCATAATGGTATGATTATTCAAATTAAGATAAACAAAAAGTTGTTACGTTCACGCTACAACGGCATGAATCATCTAATCAGCTCTCTTCCCAAAACAAAAAAGAAAAAAAAAAAAGATCTTTTTCTGGAGGGAAATTCTCTTGATATACGAATACTCTCTGAGTATTTTTTTGTTTTTTTTTGTTTCTACGCCGGTGTTGATGTTATATTCATCATGAAAGGGCAAAGGTCTACTATTTTTATCATTTGCTTTGCAACATTCCGAAATTCCAGGCATATACTATTTTAAGGTTAATACATATTTTTTTAGACCTGTTTCGTTTTTATCCCTCGATAATGGACATTAGAATGATAAAATTGTCATAGGGGAGATTCAAAAATTCAAACTTTTGATATTAGTTTTAATATTACATTTTAAGACATTCGGTCGATTTATTAGGAAATAGTCTAGTTTGGTCCGTCAACTCTTTAGCTTTTAGTTAATTTAATTGAAAGGGTAAAGAATTTCATATAGTTACCTTAGGCGACAGGTATTCAAGATTCGCTTCAAGGCTAATATAGCTGACTAACTTGTTTTTTTATTTTTAGTCGCTTGTCTTTTCGAAAGGTATGTTTGTGATGCTTATCATTCGGCAGATCAAGAATTACTGCTTTTCATGCTTTTTGTTTTCCCATTTTTTCTTCCTTCATTTCGACGATTTCCTTCATTTCGGTAATACGGGTTATGTTAGTGTTTGTACTCGTGCCTGTACAAGAAGAGAGAAAAAACTAAAAACCGGTCTCAAAAATGCTTAACTTTATGTAACATACTCTTACTTGCCTTTTGTCTTCCTTTAAAAACAAAGAATAATAAAGAAAATTAAAAATCTTTTTTTTTTTTTTTTTTTTTTTCTTTTGCTTTTTTGGTTTTGAATGCTTTATATATGTATACATAAATACACACATATATATATATATATATACCCTCTTTTTGACTTGTTTTGTATGCATGTAAAGTAAATACATAGAAGTAATAAAAAGAAAAAAGATAAAAAAAAAAATAAAAAAAATAAATAAAAAAAATAAATAAATAAATAAATAAAAGAAGAAATCCACATGTACCCTGTGTAACAACTTTAACTGGTTGTTTGCTGTTCTTATTGTTGCTGTTGTTACTGTTCTTCTTGTTGTGATGTTAATGTTTGCCATTGAACGCTTCAATGATTTTTGCTTCATCAGAACTCTGGATGTTGACTGGAGTTGCTACGTATATGCCATATTCATGGTTAATTCAGGCAAGAATTTGGAACAACAAAAACAATTTAACAAACGCACTTTTACATACAGCAACAAATATTGGTAATCTAACGAGATTAAGTCACACTTCAAATACCCTATATCGTAAGCCTCTCGTCATGTACATATCGGACCATATTGTTTTATTAACGCACAACAAGAGCAGGGTAACCAACATATATAATAGTTTACTCTATGATATTTCACCTTTTTCTGGGCGGAACGGTAAGCGTAGCATTGCACACCTAACCGTCTGTGTACTCGGGCCGAATTCGGTATAGGAAAATGTGAAAATGAAGCACTTTATGCTTTAGTTCGAGGCCGAGCCGAGGTATGGTTTCAAATCCATGTATTGTCCTTAATTTTCTGGCTTTTTTTGCTTACTACATTTATTAATAATATTTCACATTTGACTTTTTCATGTAAAAAAATCTTCTTTTAATATTCCTTGACTCTAAGAATATCGGCCACAAACTTACAAAACAATTGGTAGGCGTAACTGCAATGATAACGAATGTTATCGTAATCATTCCGGGATATACTTCGGGTATTGTTCGGATATTACGAAATATTAAAAGAGAAAAAAAATACTCTGCACTCAGGAGGTTAGCACAATATCATTTCTTATTAACACGCATTAAAATCACGAAAAATGAAAAATAATTGAAAATTTTAATTGTAATTGCTCTCAGGCAATTTTTTTTTTGTTTTTTTTTTTTTTTTGAGTAACCAACCACCCTCGCAACCTACAGCCAACGTAAAAAGCCAAAAAGAAAGATGAAGAATGTGACAGAGAGAGAGAGAGAGAGATGTTTTTAAGATTTCTCGTAATGTCGTCCAAGACTGTTTTTTTTTTTTTTTTTTTTTCTTATTGTAGAAATGAGTAGATCGGTTATTGTTAGGTAGAGTATTTCTCTTCTTAGTTTTCTTTACCAACTTTTCGTTGCATAGTTTACGATCCGTACCGGTTTCTGATCAGCAACGCCGTATATATATATACATATATATATATTACAAAGATATATAGAGGTAAATAGTTTGTTACATGACGCGCAAACTTTACCGGCCCTAATCTGTCTGCTTCTTCTTTTTACAGGACAGAAGGGGGCCAAAGGACGAAAAAAACTCTTCGATTTTCTGCATGGAATGTGCAGATGGGGCTTGTGAATGAATTGAATATTTTTTGCTTTAACTCTATATTAGTGCAAGACAGTATTAGTTTTCATCTCATCTCATTGTACAGCCCTCGAGCCTTTATGCATGCACGCATGTACGCGCATATATAGATATGTGTGCAAGTAAGTAGGTTGGTTGTGTTCTGACTGATTTGTTTTCTTAGTATTATTTTTCATCGTTTCTACTTTATCACTGTGTCGTTCTGACGGCTGGCGGTCTATTCATTTGATGTGTAAAAAGTGAAAAAAAAAAACTTTAAATTGTTTGTTGTTTTTTGTTCTTGTTTTCGCGTTTTCTTCTTTTCGTTTTTATGCATCTTAAATGATTACTAAATTATGTTTAAAATATTCATTTTTTATAATAATATATTTCAGTTAACCGCTTCTAATAGGCATGAAGTGCTTTAAAAATGGGTGGAACGCGAAGGGGCAACTAAAACGCATTTTTCAATTTATTTATTTATTTATTTATTTAATATAATTAACTTAACATGTTTACATCGAAACATATTCTTATTGTACGGAGGAAGTGTTAACAAAAAAAGTAATTAATAACACAAAATGCGAACAAAACTGTTAACAAATAAAAACCATTTCATGAATTGGCAAAAAAAAAAAAACGATGAGGAAGAAAACAAATATCAATTAATTGTGAAACAATAAAACACGCAAAACTCAATGAAAATAAAGCGTTTATGTGTATTCTTCGAATGTAATGGAATATCATGTAAGAAATATCTTAGCGCTTTACGACGAACTTTCAGTACCGTACACCGCAACCAAATGCGTAAATTTCGCGTAATTTATCTCAATTACGAGCACATCTATCCGTCTGCTCCGAACAATTTTTAGCCAACCTTTTGATTAGTTCTCATAAACATTTATGCCCAACACTTATTTAACCACATATATGGAACAAATTTTTAAACAATTGTTAACATTTTTTTGTATGAATCAAGAGCATATATATTGGATTGGGGAAAAAATACTGAGATGGTGTTTATGTCATTTATCGAGCTATTATGCTTTTAAATAAATTGCACTTCACCAGTGAGCATAGGACTTTAAGGCAATAGGCGGTGTATAGACCAATTTTGGTTATTTCACTCAAGGACATGTTAATATGTATATGCGTACATTGTACAGAGCTTCATCAAGAAATGAACTCCTTTTGCGGACATGCGCGAGAAAGCCATGTACACCCACACCCGGGCTCAATTAAATTTTAATTGCGTTTTCCAATGCGGCCAACCTGAATAAATGCAGGCAACTTTGCAATTAATGCTTCCTAGATATATCGAATTGAAATATAAAAAATAAATTGTGAATAGAGCGATAGAAGCAGACAGGGAGGGGCGTAGGTTTTCTTTAATTTGGTATCCACGTCTTATACTGATTAAGCGCACGCAAATGCCCCACAGACTCTTTCTGCTAATACTTTTAACATATACAGTTGGTGTGAAGGGATGTCGGCCAGACCATCGAAGAATAGCTTTCACAAAGCTGCGTTTTCGAGCGGACGTTTTCTAATCGCATATGCTTCTTTTGTTGACTACAAAGCTATATAGGGATGGAGAGAGACCAAACTATTTTGTATTTTGTACACTGGTAACTTCCGAACTACGTGATGTCGAGACTTTGATGAAACTTTGTGAAAAGACCATCGCATAAGTTTTGAATTCAAATCAACCAATTGTCTCGAGCGTTAGTAATTTGCTTCCTTGTCTGGTTCCACAGGGGAATGCCGAAGCCAACGTTTCAATGTAGTGCAGTTTTTAAACGGACATTACCAATTATTCCCCTTCAATTAAGAGCAGCTTAGTTGCAGCTTAGGCTGATGGAACTGGCTTGATATACAATATGTTACAATATGTTGAATATGAACTTCTGCAAGCCCTATATATTTCTAAATACATGCTGCGCAGATCCATATACACTCATCATCTCGGAGAAAAGTGCATAAAAACCACTACAGTGTTTGCGATTCAGTTTGCTACCTACTGTCAGCTTTCAATCGAATTTCCAAGTAGCTTTGGCCAGTCGATTGAATTAATTGGTGAAGCAAAAAACTCATTCTTCATAACTTCAGTAATATTGAGCAAAAAATTGAATCGAAAAATTGGTTGGTATTTACATCTTTTACATATGTATGTAACGCGACGAAACATTTTTCAAAGCAACATAGGAATGAAGGAACGAATCACAATCGCGTATATAATTAAATTCACCTCCAGTCACAGTTATTTTACATTGGACGCAGAATGCAAGCCCACAAGACATCTACACAGGCACAGGAGGAATGAGGTGTCGCGGTTTTTCACTACATTTGAATGAATGCAAAACTTACATAGGTATTACAAGGGACTATCAAAATTGGCCAGAATAGATCAGATAAAAGGAAAAACTAATACTGTGGTAGCCCGATGGGGAAAAAACCAATTGACCACAAAACTCACAGAAGAACGTGAGCTTCGTAGCTCGCATTAAACAGTTTGTATAGTTTGATAAGCACTTGAGCAATCTTTTCAAAAGTTAATTGGGTCGGCATCATAGTTCCTCTACACATATAACCGATAACTGATAACCGATAATATTCACTTTCGAATTTAAACTGTGGGCTATGATCGAGTACATACGATCTGTCACATATCCCAATTTTTTCGTTGCCAGACTATCCTATTTATTAGAAACATTAAGAAATATGAGTAGTATATGTGTTCGACCAAAATCCGATTCTGCAATTATAGAGCCATCAAGCAGATATGTACAATATTTGTGGACCTACTTAAATTTGAGAATATTGAATATTCTTCAGTTTGTTTGTTATTTGTTTATTTGTTATGTCCAACAAAGGGAAATCAATCATGAAAAAATCAGTTTTGAAAAAAATATTCTATTTGATGTTTAATGGAATTTTTCAAAGAGAAGGAATTCTTGAAATAAAAATTCAATTGAATTATGTCATAGTGGGCAAGAAGAAAAAGCGACAACAATAATAACTTGTGAATGTTAATCAATAAAAGGAAACAAAAATCAACAACGACAACAACGTAAACATATTAATTCCTTTCTATAGTCAACGATGGCAAAACTTTTGCAATAAAATGAATAAATGAATGAATGAATGAATGAACTTTTTCGTCGTTACCAATTAAAAAGTAAATAACTGTCATGCTAGTCAGTCAGTCTTTCTGAACCTGTATCACTACATTATTCAAAATGTAGTACAAATAAAAAATAACTCAATAAACAGTAAAAACATATGCTAATAAAGTCTATATGCACTCACACATCCATATATATTTTTCAGCAATGAAAAATTAAAAATAATTTATTTAAAATTTAAAGCAAAGTAAGGAAATTTAAAAGATTATATACAGCCTGAGCCGTGTTGATTAGTAGCGAAAAGGGTTTACGTACGC